ATAATAAAATTTCTAATAAAAAAATCAGGTCACACTTTTTTTTTTTAACCATGTATAATAATTTTCTCTTTTGAACTGTAGTATATATATATATATATATATATATATAATTTCAATAAAGGTGCAATTAATTTACAAATTCATTAATTATTCATACAAAAAACAAATACAAAAGTTAATGATTTAATTGGCGAGAAATTCATCATCGCGAACAATTCAAATAATATACAAAAACCCCGAACCTGTTTATTAATGAAAAGATTCTTGTTTTATAAATTTCTGTTGTAAAAATAATAAGAACTTATGTGACAGAAATTTATAAAACAAGGACCTTTTCATTCATAAACAGGTTCGGGGTTTTTGTATATTATTTGAATTGTTCGTGATGATGGATTTCTTGCCAATTAAATCATTAACCTTTGTATTTGTTTTTTGTATGAATAATTCATGAATTTGTAAATATATATAACGTTTGTCACTTAGCTGATTGATGTTACCTTCAGCCTCCCAACTCCAGAGTTTTGTAAGCAGTCATATCTGTCCACTCTTCAGGGGATATCAGCAATTGACTGCTTATATTTTTTGATTTCTTTCTATGAACTTATCATTGGTGTAATGTTTTTTTCGTATTGTTTTTATTAGTGTTTGTGTTTGCGTGCATGCAGTCATGTGTGTATATGCAGGGTGTCATGATCATTTGTCCTTTCCTTCATTTTTTTTTTTTCAGTTTTACACTCCCTCTTTAGCCCTTTCTCTTTTTTTTGTTTTTTGTTTTCCTCTTTCAATTGTAGCCATTTGTGGCCAAGTTTTATGTTCTGTCGACATGCCACCATTTTTGATTTTTGAGCATTCTAGTCTTTTGGCCTAGGAAAGTTGAATTTCGTTTTTTTACATAAATAATTGATATTAATGATTAAATGATAAATTTTAAAAAAATTATGACATTAATACTTACATTATAAATATATATATACATATTTTCATGAGACTATTATTTTGTTTTCTTATTTGGTTTGGTTGTACCTTAAGTATCAATTGTTGAAGTTTATAATTAAATTTTTATTTATTATTGTTTGAATTTATGTGTATATGTCTGTATTGATTCACTTGTGCATACACACATACACATGCACATACATCTATGCCCGTGCATAGGTATACATACGTGTACATATTCGCCTTTGCATGGAGTATTGCCGCCATATATGGTCTGGGGCACCTTATGGAGTATTGCTGCCATATATGGTCTGGGGCACCTTCTGTTTACCTCAGAGTTCTTGACAAGATCCAGAGACGGATATGTAATATAATTGGCCCTGATCTGGCATCTCGTCTACAGTCACTCTCCCACAGATGCGCCGTCGCCTCTCTCTGTCTTTTCTACAAATACTTTCATGGTAATTGCTCCAATGAGCTGCTTTCACTGGTTCCCAGACTCCATGAATTCAAGCGCCCTACAAGGCTGGCATCCCACTCCCACCCTTACACTGTAGAAACTTTTAAATGTAGCCGTCTCTTCTACCCCAATAGCTTCATACCTCGCACCTCTCGCCTGTGGAACACCCTTCCCAATTACTGTTTCCCTGAGAGCTATAATCTCCAATTATTCAAATGTAATGTCAATTGACATCTCCAGTTACCTTGATCTACCCACTATCCTTCTCCTCATCCTTTCTTCTATCACTCCTATCTGCTCCTGCTCCATATCTTCTGCAAACCCCTGCATCCTAGTGTCTTCACACCTTGCTCGGGGCGTAATGCTTAAAAAAAATTAATTGGGGTTGGTTGGGTTTATAGAATGTTTTCTTTATTGTTTGAATATATATATATATATACACACTTGCATGCACACTGCATATATAAATTCATTAAATAGTGTATATGTGTTAAATTACATTTTTGCTTACATCATATGTTACCATTTATGTAATGTTTCATTTTAATTTAATGGTCAGTAGTTTATTTGTTTTTGTGTTGGTGCTATATATTGAGGTATTAATTATAGAGGGGGGGCATAGGTTTGTTAGTAGGTGTTTGTGTGCATGTGTGTATATATTTATATGTACATGGTCACACACATGTATACGTATGTATGTTTGATATTTGTTTATTTATTAATAATTAATTTTTTGAAGTTTATATTATATCTATTTCATTTATTTTTAATTAGTGCTTAGACAGTAAACTATTTGTGCCTACATTTACCCATTATTTCTGTTTTCTTGTTTAAGAGTTTATTTTGGTTTTTAAAACTAATTATTACTAATTTTTCCTCTTAATAGTGTATAGAGCTGCTCTTTATATAATTTACCATTTAATTTTGGTGGGAATATTGTTTTCTTTTTGGCTTTATATGTATTTTGATTGGGTTGTTTTGTTTGTGTATTTTTTCTTTTGAAGGACATGTTATGGTTAAAATATCTTTCTTTTAAGGTTTTTTTTCTGTGGCACCCATGTAATTTTTTTTCATCTGTGTTAATAATATTAGTTATGATAGCTTTGTACATTATGTTATTGGTTAAACATTTATTGTTAAGTGGGGAATATACTTTATTTCTGCAGTTACATTTAATGGTGTTATTTTGATTGATGTTATTTGTTGAGCACTTTTTTTTTATTGTGCTTATTATTTTCTCCATGTTATCCATGCAGCTGTAAATAATTTTGATTGTATTTTTATTGCTAAGGTTTGATAATTTGCTGTTTTTAGGGAAGTTTTTGTCAATTATTTTGAAAAATATTTTCCCTATTTTTGTTTTTATTGTATTGTTGTATTGAGACAAATTATGTTTCTTTTTCTGTTTTTGTATTCTAGTTTTTTTGAATATTTGCCATTTCTTAGGTTTGATTCATGTTTTTATTTTGTTTTCCTTGAATGTTTTTAGGCTTCTTAGAATTTGTTAAAATGCTTTTATTTATAGAAGTTGGTATTTGTTTGAATATGTTAGGTGTTGGTTAGAATTTGTTTTTAATGTAAATTGGGTTGTTGTCTGAATATATATATATATATATATATATATATATATATATATGTGTGTGTGTGTGTCTATAAATACTTTCATGGTAATTGTTTGGATGATCTCTTCCTTGTCTTGACTTTTGGAATTTAAGCACAGTACAAGACTGGCATCAAGATCTCATGTATTTACTGTTGAGCTTGTGGAACTCTGTTATAGACAAGCGTATGGTTGCAAGAAAGAAATACGACAACAGTAGAAATAGATTTACATGGTTTATTTCAACAGGAACGTGTGGGTTTGGGACAGTTACCTTGTGGTAAAGTTCATAAGCCGGCTTCGGATCTAGGTCACACATGTTGACGGTGGTTGACGCTCCCCTGCTGTCCGTGACAGGTCTCTATCCTGGGCATCTGTGGACTGACCTGTTGAACTTCCGTGTGACCTCTTTTATAGCGTTTTTTTATGGCTTAACAGGCTCGAAAAACAAAGCGAGTATAATTAGGAGGGAAGCATTTTCATTGGACGAAAAATAGAGCACTTTAAATATTGTTTTATTTTCTGACCGGAGTATTTGCCTGTAAATCAGCCGAGATATGTCTTATTTTATTTTATAATAACTCCCTTCTAGTTTTATGTTTTCAAGACAACTTTAATCTTCAAAGATTTAAATGCAATGTTTATCTTTATCCACTGTCCTCCTGATTACATTTTTTTTCACAGTCATTACTAATGTTTTGTCACACTCAGTAATCCCTTGCATCTTAGTGGCTTTACTGCTTTGCTTGGGTTGAAATCAATTAAAAAACATTTTATATATATATATATATATATATATATATGGTACGATGGGTGAATTGTCACTATTTTCAATTTGATGCATGTGCTTTGATTGTTTTTGATTTTGTTGACTACACAGTATAGTAGAGTTATTTTGGCACTGTCGGTAAGAAAAAGAGCACCATGGCACAATTCACTCTGCCAGAAATTTGGAAACCACATGCTGTACAGCTTGGCATTCACGCCGGAAGCTCCAATATGAACATTTCAGAGTGTTTGGGTGTCAATCTGAGGACAGTTCAGAGAATTTGAAAAGAGTTGGATGATATATCCAGTCAACATCCTGGTGTTTAGAGTGATTACTAGTGATGGTGATATTCTACCTCCATTCATCTTCCCACAGAGCCCCAGACTCAATGCAAAGGTCTACATTAATGCCTTGAGGAGGTAGTGCTCTCCTGGGTCAAGAGGTTGGCTGCTGGAAGACTATGTCTTGAAATCAAAAAGAAAATAATTTTATTTATATATATATATATATATAAGTATATTGTTGCCATTTTCTATTTTTAATTTCATGTATGTGTGTTGTTTGTTTTAGATTTTTGTCTCAAACAGCGTTCAACAATACTGTGCCCTCAAAGCCCCCCCCCCAATGAGAGAGGATATAATATGAATAAAAGAACCTGGGTGTCTTCTATAGACCTACTGGAGAAGCACTTTTTTTTTTAACCGAAGTGTGTCTATAGCAAACTCTATGAGGAGTTGCTTATTTTATTCATATACAGACAATGTCACATGTGAAGGACTGCTGAAAAGTTCTTGGCCAACCATACTTGGCTCGCTTTTCAGGTGGGTATTCACATGATTGTGTCTCAGATTTGTGATGAGCTGATGCACAACAAATTTTAGGAATGTATACTTTGTTATATAAATGACATTTTTTAGAATATCTGATTTGACACGTTTTGGCAATGAACTTAAGTCAGTTGCATCAGAAAAAGAATTTAATTTTACAGTAACAAAATATACATTAGTGAGATGAAACGGGTTTCATGGCAAGCAGCTTAATGCTTGGCTTTTACTTTCATTTTATTGTTATGGAAATTAGATGCAAACTAATTTAACTCATTATTATTATATATTTTCATTTTCTCTACATTTTTATTTTTTTCTTATTTTTTCTGTTTTTTCTTTTCATTTTTCTTTTCTTTGTTTTCTTAAAGCTTTACATACTCCACATTGCTTCTGTACAAATTTAATAAGACCATACAAATGGAAATTGTTTGAAATTGAAATTATATATTTTTTACTTTTTTCTTACTTTTCTGTTTTTTCTTTTTCTCTTTTTTTCTTTTTTTCTTTTTCCTTTTCTCTTTTTTTTCTTTTCCCTTTTTTCTTTTTCTTTTCTTTTTTCTTTTTTTTCTTTTTCTTTTCATTTTTCTTTTTTCTTTTCCCTTTTTTCCTTTTTTCTTTTTTCTTTTCTTTTTTCTTTTCTTTTTTTTCTTCTTTTTCTTTTCTTTTTTCTTCTTTTTTTTCTTTTTTTTCATCTTTTTTCTTCTTTCTTTCTTCTTTCTTTTTTCTTCTTTTTTCAAGGTTTACATATTCAAAATTGTTTCTATAGAAATTTAATAAGAATATAAAAACTGAAATTGTTTGGTTGTATATGAGTCATAGGTGATTAAGAATTTCATCAATGCATCTTTGTATGGCAATATGTCAAAAAGTTCTCAGCAGGACCAACTTCCAAAAATCTTTTCATTTGACTAAACATCAGATGTTTTGAAGGATTGACTTCTTGATAAAGTCTAGAAACCTCAACAGATTTTGAACTTGCTTAACAACTAATAAATGCTTATTTGAAATATTATCCCCATTTTGGTTGCTATTATCACAATGTTTCAGCTGTTGTGCTCTCCAACCATCAGCAGGTGATTGTCAGTTAACATCCAGAGCGTTTTGAAATGAAATTTCGATTAATTTGTCCTCTTTCCACTGAATATGTCTAGGGATATTTCAACAAGTTCTTTTTTTAGTACTGCTCAGTTATTGCTTACTCTATTCCAACTGTGGCTCAGTCTAAACTTACAGCCATAGGGCTTGAACTTGCAATTACTGTCATGTAATTCATGAACCAATGCTTTAGTCTTACTAGGTTTTTATCTTGTGAGACAATATAGAACTTGAAGCCTTAACCCTAATCCTGCCTGCTGCTGAAACTGCTGCAGCTGCTTGTCACACTTTGCTGTCCACTGAAAAATTTCACTTGTTCATGAGGTCATCATAAGGTCATAAGGCAAATATGATAAACACTATTACGTAGAGTTTAAAAATGCAGGAATAAACAACTTTTTTCCTTAGGCTTTGATTATGACCAGAAATATGGAAAATAAGTCCTCGGATATCAGCATGTATTCTCTCATCTGTCAATATTTCTGAGATAAGGTATTTTAATTATTTACACTATTTCCATTGTTTGGATTGTTCTCTTCATCTTTCTTACCATATTCACAACTTTTCAACTGTTGTACACTTGGGCCTTCTTCAGGATCTGTCTATATTTCTGAGACCAGATATTGTAATTATTTGTGCTATTTAAATTGTTTGGACTGTTGTCCTCATCTTTGTTGCCCTATTCACAATGTTTTGCTTATTGTATGCTCTGGCCTTCATCAACTGAGTGGAATTTAACCAAACATGCATGAATTAAAATATGCTGCCTAAATATATATATAATTTTGTAAAATTTTACATATCAACAAACAATATTTAGAAAAATAGTATGACAAATTGGAAAAATGTTTTTGTGATACATTTCATCCATTAGGATTTCATCAGATAGATGAAACATGTCACAAAAACTGTTTATATTTTTGAGATGAAGTATTGTAATTATTTACACTATTTGGACTGTTGTCCTCAAGAACACATTGGCCCAATGGATAAAAGCATTGGTTGTGTCCAATGACCTGACCCAAAGTGTTTTGAGTTCAATACCTGGCTACAGCAGAGGTGAAGAAAAACTTGGAGAGTTGAGTTAAAGGGAGATAACTAATACTGAGACATCTGGAAGAGGCATGGAATGTGGAACTAGAATGAAATAAAGAGTTCAGTATAAAATTCCAATTACCTGAGGTGTACAATGGCTGAAATGTCATCAATATGGCAGCGAAGATGAGGACAACACTTTGAACAATTTAAACAGTGTAGATAATATATTCTCTTGTTTACTAAAAAAAAAATACCATTCCTTGTCAATTGTCTTTAAGCCTTGAACAGACTCAGGTTCACTATTCACATTTTTATTTTGATACAATATGCTGGGTAACTGTTTCTGTTCATTGTATGCAAGTTAATGGGACCATAAGGCTTGTATGAAAGGTTTTTATCAAGTAAATCTGAAGATTTTTTTTCCAGATTTTTTTTTTATTCCAAAGTCTGAGTGACCAGGTGTATCTCTCTGGTTTTAATTAGACTTGTATTAGTGAAATACGGCTGTATAAATACAACACAATAGGAGGTTCCTAAGATTGTCTTGCTGAATATTTTCCTTCAAGTGATTGTCCTACATTTGTGACTCAACTAAATTTATTGATTTTCACTTCATAGTTTAATCTGATGTCTAACAGGGGTCAGTTCTTCATTGTCATAACCATCTGACTTAAAATGATAAGTTCAAACCTATTGAAAAATACTTCTTACAAATGTTTCCCATTTCTAGCATGAACATATTGACCTGTTTTCTGTGTATGAAATGAAGTGCATTGTCTGAAAGATCTCAAGAGAGTGCAGTTTAAACTAAAATTCAGAATTTGGAAATTTGCCAGAGATAGAATCAAATTCAACGCTCTTTGCACAAGACTATATTTCAATACAATTAATTACTGAAATTGTTTTCATGTCAGTGGTTTGAATGATATGAAAGAAAATTCATTTATCAAAACTAATATTGAATAAGAATTAACCTTAAAATCCTGCATTCTTAAAGAAATTAAAATTATTTTCTCATAAATCAAGAATTTATTAACCAGAGAAAGTTGATGATTTTTTTTATTTCACCCAATACAAGAGCCACTCATGGTAGAGGGTTACTGAATGAGATTGTTTCACCCAATACAAGAGCGGCTCATGGTAGAGGGTTACTGAATGAGATTGTTTCACCCAATACAAGAGCGGCTCATGGTAGAGGGTTACTGAATGAGATTGTTTCACCCAATACAAGAGCCGCTCATGGTAGAGGGTTACTGAATGAGATTGTTTCACCCAATACAAGAGCTGCTCATGGTAGAGGGTTACTGAATGAGATTTTTGAAAAAGAGTAATAAAGAAGTGTCTATTATAAATCTATCTCAGAGAGATATTAGTTGACCCAGTACTTGAAGGTGTTAAAATTGTTGGATCACAAAATCCATTCCATGAAGTAACAGTTCTGAGGAAAAAGCTGTCTGAGTGGAACTTCTTCCTTATAATTGGAACCTAAAGGGAATAAGGGATGATTTGCTACTGTAAAAATAACCTCGCAGCTTTTAGCTGTGAAGGTCTGAACTGGTGGCGCTAAGAAATGTAATGAGAACATTTGTGATTGTGATAAAGTAGTGGAAGGGTAGTAACGTGAAATAAAGTTTGCAGATTGGAAAATAGTTACTTACCTATAAGGCCGGATAATTATTTTAAAACTCTGTTGATGCTGGACGTATATGCCATTTTGGTCTGATCTGAGTTTTGTAAAAATAGAGCCTATCAGCAGGAGTTTGGTGTTTTTTTCTGGAGTGATGCAAAGAACTGACCATTCTTCCAGTATCTTTTGTGAAGGCATATGTTTGCTTTCCATTTTCCTCTTTAGGAACTCTCTTCTGGCTTCCTTCAAAAATTTAAATGCAATAGCAATCATCATCTTCTGTCTTCTTGAATCATGTTCTTTTATTGTTCTTTTTGTTTCTTCCACTCTCAGTAGCCCCTTACATCCAAGTGGTTTTTACTACCTAAGTTGATGTGAATTTATGAAAAAGAAATTTATTCTTCTTGCAACATGTTTCTGTCTTTGTCTCCATTAGACATAAAAGGTTAGTCATATTCTGTTTGACTCATCAGAAGATAGTCACCAACTCACCTTCTTATCCCCAAATCTATGGTGATGACCTTTCCTGCTGGCTTTAAAGCCTTGTTTCTTTTTGTTATGGAGTTATGCTACTGCATGAACTGTTGTTTTGATCTCTGGATCAGTGGTCTAATCATGTTTCATTGAAGGTGACAAATTCAACTTGGTCGTGTCCGTTTGGTATCATTTCTCATTGGCCTTGAAGCATTTTGGCACCCTCTTGTCTGACAGTTTTTGCATATATAACTGCTCATGAATTATAAACCCAATGCTTTTCCTGAATATCTCCATTGCCTCAGCAATTCCTTTGTCTCATATTTATCGATCGAACAAAATTGGGTCATAAATAAGATAAATGATTTTAAGAGTTAATTCTGTTGAAAGCCTCTATTTTGAATCTCAAAATCTTGCTGAAAGTTGGCATATGACATCAAAGTTCAAAGTTTAGTGTGATGGGATCTTGTCACCTTATGTTTGTATCATCTTGTTATCTGATGTTTGTATCATCTTGTTATAGATTTCTTTCATAGTTTGCTTCTGTAGAAACTTTATAATAGTCCAGTGTTCAAAACTTGAAAAATTCCATTATTTACATGTGGAATATTGTCCTCATCTTTATTGTTATCAGAACATTTCAGCCATTGGGTACTCTGGCCTTCATCAGGCACTTGTTAATCTGCGTAACCTTCGGGGAATTTTAACCTGCTTTATTTAATCTTCAGGGATAGATTGCTCTCATTTGAGTGACCATGTCTCAGGATATTTTGTCTAGTTTTCATTTAATACTGCTCAGTTCAACAGCTGAAATATTAAGATAAAAACAATAAAGATGATGATAATAGTCTGTAAACAATAGAAATAATGATAATTCAAATGTGTTGTCAGTTTATTCATGCTTGAAATAAAGTTCCTTAATCCATTTCCTTCACCAAACAGCACCCACTTTCTATCAGGAGGTAAGCCATTTTCTCTTGTGTTACACTCCCCCCACCCCGATTTCCTGATCAAATATGTGGTGGGGGATGGATTTCCGATACTGTCATCCTCTGGGTCCGCAGGCAGACTTTCTGGCTCTGTTCTTATGAACAACAAAATCTCTAAGTCGCTCTCAGATAATGGACTATTTTTGCCATCTTCTGAAACAAGATTTGTACTGTGGTCACAGGCCTTTTCACATGGCACAGCATTTCATTAACCAATATTGTTTGGAGGCTATTTCCCCACTTGGTACTGATTATTTACATTGTTACATGGCGGTAATGACACATCTATTCCTTTCATGCGCGGTTCGTACTGGTAAATTTCGTTGGTTGGTGGTGTGGAGTCATATGATATATGTTCCATTTATATATTAAATACCCTTTAAAAAGTTTAAATTATTGCACAACAAAATATTAAACTACAATTTAGATGATTCTGTAGTGTTGATAATTTTTAACTACTTTACATGCAAGACGCGTTTGAACCTGCTTTCTACCAGCAGGTAAGCCATTTTCTCTTGTCTTACAAGATGGAAATGGAAAATTTTACTTGACATTTATCCAAAGGATTCAGTAAATTGGTACTGGAAAATATCAAGGCGAATGCTCTTTTCAGCTGAAATAACAAAATACTGCTCAGAATTTGGTCAGTAGGTCTAGGCAAGAACTTATTTGCATCACCTGGTATAAAGTTCTTCAGATAGTAATGTGATATTTTTGAACATATAGTAAAAACATATTCAAATATCACAAAAATGAAAATATTTTGTCTAGAATATGCTATCATTATTATCAATAAAATATCCTCTATAAACTAAGAAAGTGAGATAGTCGATGAAAAAATTATTTAAACATGAAAACTAAATCTCGATATCACATTGAAAAATTAGTCTCTGTATGATGACCAAACTTAAGCAAATTTGAGCTTGGTTAGTACCTAGATGGGTGACTATTTAGAAATACCATGTGCTGTAAACTTGGGTATGTAAATATACACCATCCACACACCCAAGTTTGCCGCACATGGTATTCCTAAATGTAATGTATTCAGAACTTTTAAGAGAGCAGAGTTCTAATTCTTGTTGGGTTCGTTATATTCACTTATGCAAAAAAATACTCTTGTGAAAGATATGAATCTGCAACTTCTCTTCCTAGCTATGTGTTAATTAGTATGACTTGTATTGCTAAGCCATTATTATCTTCTGAAATAAATTCTTACAATCTAAAGAACTTGCAAAGGGTTGATAAACTGCAAAAAGTGAATCAATTAATTAATAAAGCTAGACTTCCTATAGCGAAGAAAACCGCAACTTACATCGTCAAATCAAGAGACATTGCGTCGCATGTATCCTACGATGGAAAATGTGGTGAAAAAGAAAATTACTTACCAAAAAAAATGAGCACGTATTCCGCATGACATGCTGAAGACGGAATATTTAGATTAAAAACAAGTCTGTCACAGGAGTCGCTGTAAAAGTACTTTGATATGCAAAAATTGGGCATCCTCTCCCAGTTGTTGACAAATAGAAAAAAATGTTTGGCCAATAAAAGCATTTGGTGTTCTTGAATTGGGGATGAAAATTGATGTATTTTGGCTACTGTGTTCGTCGGAGAGTGAGTTAATTTTTTTAACTGGTTACATATATTGGGATTTGTGAGATAGTACCTGTGAATCGAGTTTTCGGCATTTCTTTCTGCTCCCGATATTTGAGTCTGAACTTACAGTGATTTGTTCTCTGCATTGTGGAATTAATCTGTGACAAACATTTCCTTTTCTATCAGAATGCTTACACCTCCATAAAGTTTTGGTATAAAGCTGGTAGGTTTTATTTATTCTGAGCCCTTGAAATAAAACAAAACTGTTTCAACAGGTCTGAAGATTGGAAAGGAACACATGCACACATTAAAAAAATGGTTTTATCAAAATAACATTGTAAATCATCATTGTAACAATCTGGAGCCGCACAATGGTGGAGTAATGGATAGCAGCTTAGATTGAGGAATCGGAGAGCTGAGTTCGAATTCAAGTCGAATCCATTACATTCACTTACATGCTAATACCCTTGGGAAAGGTATGAATCCTCTTCTTCTCCCCCCAGCTATGGGTAAATAGCAGGACAGTCCAGTTTCTATAGCTTTGGATGGTAACTGGTCTCCTGTAGAAAGAAATAGCAACCTACTGCGGGCAAAAAATCTGCCTCATCAGTCATGTATCGAAAGATACATGATCGCATAAGCGTGTATCACGCATAGTGCAAAACTAATTGACAGTAAAGATAGCATTTAGAGGAGAGCGGTTCTTCAATTACGATGACATATCTAAGAAAACAACCAAGAAACTTACACCAGTTGGGTGTACACGCCCTCATTCAGTGATTATTCTCATCCCAGTGACCCTTTTCAAGACCAGGTATCTTTGAGGACAGTCTACTCCCATTGATTAAATAAAAGGTTCAGTCCATTTTGCATTACTTAGATGAGGTCATCAATCAGGATGCCCGACGTAGGAGTTTCAATTGCACATGTGTTAAAAGACACACAAAGCACTACTCTGTGTGTTCCTGCAAGTTTCATCTGATTTGAAATAATTAGGTCTCATCCAATTATCTAATATGAAATATCTTTTGTATGACACCATTGCATTTCAATGCCCCCAACACTGGTCTCTTAGATTTCAACATTGGCCATGTCCTCTTGCTGATATTGTCACCATAATCCTGGCAAGGGTGGCTTTCCTCTTCAGGTTTTGAATTCAGAGTTGTCCTTCTAGATTAGTTGCCAACCAAGGCTAAAAAGCCCCATCTGCTCTACTAATTAACCCATACTTGGGGAGAAGAATGTTCCTGCAATTTCCATCTGATTTAAAATAAATAGGTCTCATCCATTATCTAATATGAAATATCTTTTGTATGACACCATTGCAATTCAATGCCCATAACACTGGTCTCTTAGATTTCAACATTGGCCACGTCCTCTTGCTGATATTGTCACAATAATCCAGGCAAGGGTGGCTTTCCTCTTCAGGTTTTGAATTCAGAGTTGTCCTTCTAGATTGGTTGGCAACCAAGGCTAAAAAGCCCCATCTGATCTACTAATTGACCCATACTTGGGGAGAAGAGAAACAGATTCCCACCTTTCCCAAGGGTATTTGTCTATAAGTGAATATAACAAACTCAACTGAAATTTGAAGTCTGATTTTTTATTCCAAGCCACTATTCATTATACCACCCACAAAATCCAGAATTCAGACCAAAATTCTCAGGAGGTTACCTTGATTGACAGACAACAAAGGCTGACAGGTCCACTGTCTGAAAGTCAAAGATGAGGACATTGTCAATAATGATAAGTCTTCATCTCAGAAATTCAGACTGAAAGAGATCAATGATCCAAATACATCTTGGAATAAAATAAAGGATTAATGATTCTCAAAGCTTTGACTGGTGACCAATGCTTAATGACAAAACACCTCCCTAATCAGCTTTACTCAATGTTGAACTGAAATCGCTTTAGCAGGTTATCAGCAGCTAACTCTAGAGCTAAAGTGGATTGCTATAAGTCTGACTTGTACAGTAGCACAAGTAAGGTCCACTTGATGAGGACCATAGTCGTGACTGTAATAAAGATCTGTAATATTTGTGTGGGGAACAAGAAAACTTACCTCCCACAAAGCAAATTTGGTTGGCGTGTCAGGTCCTGTTGAAAGATCACAACCGGCATTAAAAGTGAAATGGATTATTCTGAAATTCCGCGGACAGACGTACAAAGAAAAAAAAGACTAAGAATTCAAACCAGCTTGAATTTATAAAATCGGAAGTCTCGTATGGAAATGTTAGTTGCCCCCCCCCCGACGTAGGCATAAATAGCGAGTTTGTGAGGAAGACGGGAGAACTTTTGTTGGTGTGACGGTATACGTATGTACTAACGAGAATGAGAGAATAAGGAAGAGGTCACTTGTGACAGCTCAGTTGGTAGAGCAGAAGACTGGAAAAGAAAGCGAGGACTTTAATCCATTTCAATCATTGCAAATGTTTGCGAACTGAATTACAACTGTTCTAGGCACACTATTACCATATATCCCCTAGTATAGTGTATGTTCTCATGGTCAGATTTTAATGCAAAATATAGGCATCACACAATACACAGGTACCTTTTCTGAGGAGGTTAAAAAATCATGCATTTTCGGTGACTGGTTGCACTATGCACAGGTAAATTTCTTCTGAGTGAGGGGGGTAAAGTTCATGCATTTTTTGTGATGGTAACCATCCTGGGCAAGCATAAACGAAAACAAAAGTGTGGTATCTGAATCTTTGTATCAGATATTTTACCATAGGTAGTTTTTTCCTACACTTTTGAGGTACACTATTTACATTGTTCGGACTATCGTCCTCATCTTTGTCGTCCTCATCGTTTCAGCCGTTGTACGCTCCGACCTTCTTCAGGTGGTTGCAATATCAAACTGAACCCTTTATTTCACTTACTGGGGTAGACTGTTCTAGTTCCACGTGCCATGTCTAATGGATGTCAGTTATCAGTTATCTCCTGTTAATTCCCCTCTCCAAGTTCTCCACTGCCTTAACCAGGTATTGAACTCATACACTTTGGGTCCTGTCACTGGATCTAACTAATGCCTTTATCCACTGTGCCATGTGTCCTTGAAGAAGGCTGTAGCATACAACTTTTGGCCGTTGTATGCTCTGGCCTTCTTCAGGTGGTTGGAAGAAGGTCGGAGCATACAATGGCCGAAACGTTGTGATAAATATGGCAACAAAGATGAGGATGATACTCTGAACAATGTAAATAGTGTACATAATACCTCATCTCAGAAATATAGATAGACACCTTTTGGGGTAGCTTTGTACAAAAAAGAATGAAGACAATTCATTTGCTATAATATTGGAATATTTGACTATGGTAGGGCCACTTGTATTGCTCAGGATCTGGGGTCACATTATACAAGAACTATATGAAAAAAAATCAGGTTTTTCACAGAAAAAAATGTGGGGTTGCACTATACCTGGATTGGGCTTATATATAGTATACTGATATTTCTTCTAATTTCTGTCTATATCTCTGAGAGGTGGTATTATGATTACTTACATTATTTACATTATTCAAACTGTTATCCTCATCTTCATTGCCATATTCACAATGTTTTGGCCTCTATATCTCTGAGATGAAGTATTATGATTTCTTACATTATTTGGACTGTTATCCTATACACAACGTTTCGGCTGTTGTTCACTCCAGCCTTCTTCAGGAGATTGGAATTTCAAACTGAACCATTTATTTCATCCACCAGGGTGGATTGTTCTAGTTCCACTTTCCATGCCTCTTCTGGATGTCTCAGTTATTTCCCTTAATTCAAGTCATATGTTGGCTACATCCAGTGACTAGACCCAAAAAGTTGTGAGTTCAATACCAGGCCAAAACAGTGGTGAACCAAACTCAGAGAGTTGAGTTAAAAGGAAAGAGGCATGGCACGTGGAACTAGAACAATCTACCCCAGTGGATAAAATAAAGGTTTTTGGTTCAAAATTTCTTCTGTGTTGTCAGATTTATACCTCTGTAATTTAATGCCTCTCTCCCCTGCTTTTACCATTAATTTCTCTCTCTCTCTCTCATCTTTCTAGACTCTTTTTACTATACCTTTTTCTCTATCTCTCTCTCTAATCTCTTCTCTCTTGATCAACTTTTTCTCCTCTCCCTTTACTATCACTTTGTTTCTCTCACATCCACTCTTCTTCTCTCTTGACATAACATACTTTTTCTTCTTCAGTCTCTTTTCTCTCTCTTTACCATCACTTCATCTTTCTCTTCCAGTGTCACTCTCTTTATTATAACTATATCTCTCTACTTCAGGCTTCTTGTGGTACAACAAGAAAGAAACCAAGATCTGCTGTTCCACTAAAAGCACTTCCTCCCTCTGCAATAACTACTTTTCTCACCAACAATTCACTAATCAAATCACTTACTTTTGAGTAAGTCAATTAAAATAATGAGAAAGTGTTATTAATGAAATCCCTTCCCAGAAACAACTTCTGTCCCATAGCAGTGGAAAATAGTCAGTAAATAATGACTCACTATTGTCAAGGTTGACGATAAGTGTAAAAGCATTATAAAATTGTTGGGTTTTAAATCTTTGCACAGCTTAGTTTCATATGCTAATGAAACCTGTGGATTAAATAAAGAATTCAATTTGGAATTTCCTGTAGGTTATCTAAATTTGACATACACTTGATCAAGGGTTGAAACCAAAGCATCTGAAATGTTGTGAAAACAATAAGAAAGATGAGGATAATAGTCTGCATGTAAATGCTGTAAATAAAAAGTGAGTTCTCAAGTATAGGATTCTATCATTGTAAATATTAATGTCCGCCATTCCTTTTTATCCCATAACCGTCCCCCACCAAAAAAAAAAGGAAGCCTGCCATGGTTAAATCATCTTTTGTCCGCTTCAAAATATCCCCACCTTTCAGGATTTTACACATTTACTCTTGTATTCCTTCTGCTTTCCAAAACATTCCACAAACTCCTCATTCCAGATTATCTTCATTTCTTTCACTGCATTCACAAAATCTTGTCCATGGCAACGATTTTAGGAAAAATCAAAAGGGGAAACAGTTTTACACTGTAGTGGGAGTTGAAGTGATTATTGGTTGTTTTTGTTTAATGGCATATTAACACCTCTATGGGTTATTACAATGCTGAAATCTAAATATTTCGTTCGTAATTTTATTTTATTCTTGGAGATAATGGCTTTGTGATAGAAGTTTTACTAATCAAATCATTGGGAGAAGAGCTGGATTCATACCTTTCCCTTGGGTATTTGCGTTGAACTCTGCTTTCTGATTAACAATTCCAAACCGTTATCAATTATGCCACCCTCCCATTCAAGCTTACAGTTCCTGGTATTCTCAAGTGGTTACCCAAGTTTGACATTGCTTAACTTCAGTGATTGTATGGGAACCGACTTTTCTGTTTCAGTAAGCAGGAAAGTTTTGCCACAAAAACCTGCATACGATGCGAGCAATCTTAATTTCGCTTGAATGTTTGGGGATGAGAAGTTAACATCATTTACATTATTTATGCTTGAACTATTGTCCTCACTTTTATTATTATTATTATTATCATAATGTTTTGGCCTTCATCAGGTGCTTGTTGATTTGGGTTAACTTTTGGGACTTTTGTACTGTACCATTTTATTTATTTTTATTTTTTTGTACTGTACCATTTTATTTAGTCTACTGGATAAACTTTTGGGAAATTTGTACTGTACCATTTTATTTAGTCTACAAGAATAGAATTTTTCTCATTCTGCTGACCATATTTAGGGATATCTGATCTAGTTCTTATTTCATACTGCTCAATTATTGCTCACCCTTTTTGCACTGTGTCCGAGTTTGTAGGGCCAGACTCGGAGATTAAATTCATAATTACTATATCTACAAATTCATGAACAAACTATGTTTCTTTTTGTTGTGGTTGTTGTTGTTGTCTGCAACTTTTATCAGATGAAGGAAACAGATACATAGCATTAACAAGAGAATCTGACCTCAATTCAAATGAACTTATGATGGTCACCTTCCTTCCATTGAAAACAATGTTCCCGTACGATTACTGAAGTTAAGCAATATTTAGCCTGGTCAGTAGCTTAAATGAGTGACTACTTGAGAATAATGCTTGACTTGAGATGCTGTAAGCATGGATGTGTGGGTGGTGTAATGGATAATGGCTTGGAATTGTTAATTGGAGAGTCAATTTCAGCATGAAATAACCCATATTTTGATATGCTACTAAACAAAAATGACCAACCATTTTGAATGTTTGACTTTGTGATAAGCAGATGAGAGAAGTGTCCCATCTCTTATGCCAGAATTCTACTGTGTGCAGAGCATGATAAATTAACCAGTGAATACTAAAATAGGGAAAATGCACAGATACAACACTGATCACCTAGATCAAGTGCCAGAGGTTAACACATTGAGGCAGAGCACACAGATACCACATTGATCCTAGGTTGAAGGCCAGAGTGACATACTGATGCTATGCTAAGCACACACACACACTGCATTGATTTGAAGCTGAGGACTTAAAAATGACACATTGATCTTAGGTAGAACACACAGATACTACATAGATTGTAGGTTGTGGTTCGCTGAGTGGCACACTGATCTTATACTGAGCACAGAGATACTGCACTGATCCAAGGGAAAGGGCAGGAAATACAGATACTACACTGATCTTAGGCCGAAGAGTCAGTCTTTACAATTTCAGTGTGAATTATGTTAGTAATTGATAGGATAAGGAACACATAGAGAACGTTTATGAATCTAACATGTTTCAGTCTTATTCAGTCCTCATCAGATAATTGAATATTCATCCAATATTGGATCTATATTTGATCCCTAATCATTATGTTCGTAATGTAAATAATATGTGTGCATAAACTTGTGATTCAATTAAGCTAGTTTCACTCTACACATGCTGCAATCTTGCAAGAATTCTTCTAACAAAGGAACCAGATGTTCTTAAAAGAATTTTGCTGCAAGCTTCAGTTTCAGCAAAATATTGTGAGTTAATAACGTTTACAATCATTGTGAGTTAATAACGTTTACAATCATTGTGAGTTAATAGCGTTTGCAATCATTGTGAGTTAATAGCGTTTGCAATCATTGTGAGTTAATAACGTTTACAATCATTAGAATTTAATTTAATGAATGCCACTCATTCCCTAATCAATCTTAAATAATTATTTTAATTGAATTAAATGAAACCCATATTTCTTCATCATGTTACTGATGGCTTTGGAAATATTCATATTTAAATACATTCACTCTGATACACTATTTACATTGTTCAGACTATCATCCTCATCTTTGTTGCCATATTTATCACAGCGTTTTGGCTGTTGTATGCTCCGGCCTTCTTCAGGTGGTTGGAATGTCAAACTGAAATATAGACAGATTCACTCTGATTAATTTCAAACAGCTGTAATGGTCTTTGTCTTAAGGTGTAAAGTTTCAATTTTTAGCAAAAGAGGCACATAAGAACTTTAAATAATTTTTCTTTTTTTTTTTTTTTTTTTTTAAATTCTTGAGATGAGTCCTTTTGGAGATAAACTAGAAAGAATGCAACCCACCCCTTAATACCTATCATATTTAATGTCATATAAGATAGATATTTAAAAAGCAATACATATGATTACCCTATCTTGAAATTGCTCTAGGGCTTTGATCAGTTGCAGGGATTTTAGCATTTTCCTCTTTTTAACATATACCATTTTGGCATTAAAATCATGATAAGTAGAAATCAGACATTGTCTTATATCTGTATAGATTTTTCTTTGCACAGGGATTTTTGCCAACTCAGCATTAAGCATTCTTTGTATCTTGTTACTGATTGGCTCAAATTCTTACCACTGATTGGTTAGAATTCTCTTTGGAAAGTCAGACACTTCCTGTTGTTGTATATTGTATGAAGTTGTTGCCAAAAATGGATTCTGTTAAGGAAAACCAGAATCAATGAAACAAAACCGATTTTGGGGTTTCTTGCCATTTTTTAGATTTTTAACATTTCTTCTGTTGAGGCAAGTTTTTTGGGGGTTTTTTTTAATGTCATGAAAAAAGATTTTTATAACCACTTATGACATGTTGACAAAATAGTTTAATATTTTTTGTTGACTGGTTCATGCAATGAAAGCAAATTTATGTTGAAGATTATATTCAATTTTTATATATACATGTGAAAATAATTAAAATTTCTGAAGATCGTTCTATTCAATTATTGCACAGCTATGAACTAACTTTTTTTTTTTTAAATGATTGTATACTGAAAGTAAATATAAATTTACATAAATTAATTTCAGTTATTTTTCTATGATTCATATTACAAAAGTTTATTTAATTTTGCACAGAAATTTTATTCACAAAATATTGGCTTAACACAGACGATCAATTCTAAGTAAAGAATATTTTAACTTTATATAAATTTTTTAATATTTTTTAAAATAGTAATTCTTTGAGAAAGCTAATCTGGTGCATAAATTTCTGCGTGTAAAAATGGTTGAAGAGCAAACCCATATACAAAATAGGGAATCGCTTATATTACACAAATTGTTGTGAAATGGTTGGTCTGATCAGTATATTTAGTATCATAATAATTTTTTTTGTTGGTGACAAAACTGATAAAAAGAATAACAGCAATAATCAGAACAACATTTGGTGTCCTGATTAATGTATTTTTTGCATCCTATTTATTTTATTCTGTTGGTTCTCACAAAAACCAATTTTTGGAGATTTCAGTTTTGCTTTTTTAACTGGAATATATTCTTAAAAGAATACTTATTTAAATGACATTATTTACATGTGGACTATTGTTCTCATTTTAGTTATTATCAAATAATTTTTTTTGTTGGTGACAAAACTGATAAAAAGAATAACAGCAATAATCAGAACAACATTTGGTGTCCTGATTAATGTATTTTTTGCATCCTATTTATTTTATTCTGTTGGTTCTCACAAAAACAAATTTTGGGAGATTTCAGTTTTGCTTTTTTAACTGGAATATATTCTTAAAAGAATACTTATTTAAATGACATTATTTACATGTGGACTATTGTTCTCATTTTAGTTATTATCACAAGTACTTGTTGATATGGGCATCCTTCTGGGAATTTTGAACTGATCACTTGATTTAATCAAAAGGGATAGATTGTTCTCACTCCACCAGCCATATCTATGTGTATGTGATCTAGTTTTTCTTTATTACTGCTTAGTTATTGCTCACCCAGTTATCACTAAATTTGAGTCTGCATTGCCTGACTCAGGGATTGAACTCACAA